TTTTTTTTTTGGCTTTTCAGGAGTTATCTGCACGGACATTCTTTAGTAGGCCGTTGTGGCTAGTCGTTTAGACGTGAGTGTTGAGTTGCAGTTTTTTGGTTCAGTTATAAAAAAGGCAGTAAGTCAACGCAAGTTGATTCGGAATTGATAATAAATTAGAGTGGCTTCGCTACTGCTTGGACTTGTTGTAAAGCTGCTTAATTTCATCTGCGTAGCGTTGTCGGAGTTGTGGTCGCTTCGCTTTCAAGGTGGGGGTTAGCAGACCATTTTCAACGGTGAACGGGTCTGCTGTTAGATAGACGGCTTTTACCTGTAAATATTGTAGATACGGGATTTGCCATCGGCCACGCAAAAAGTCATTAAGTTGGTAGATGAAATTGGATGTTTCAGTATTAACTACTGGTTAGCATGTGAGTTTCTTACTAGGACTATGCAGTTATTTTCTACTTCCAGACCTATTCGGGTGCGGCTACCTTTTTCAGCATGCTGTAGCTAATACTGTTGAAGAATTTTCAAAATTTTAGTTACCTGTTCAATAGAATTCAATTTGTTTTGTTTACCGGTTTTTTGCATCTCATCAAGGACGTATTTTCGTACCTGAATACGCAGTTTTTACTGGGGTTATACCGCAAGAAAATAGTTCTGAAGAAGAAATGTTAGCGAAAGGGTCTAGCCAAAAAAACCAACTTTTTCATCTTTCAATATCGCTTCATAGGATTGATTCTTGGTATCGACATTTTGTTTAAACCAATCTCTAATGACATCTTCTTCAGGGACAACAATTGCGACAAGATAGCTGTAATTTTATTACATTTTACATTTTGTTATCAACATTATTAGTATAATATACGGATTTTGGACAGATTACGGTCATATATATTGAAGTTATATAATGAATTCCCAGCATACACTAAAAAAGAAAGTTGTACCTTTCCAAAGAATCGCCATCTACAAATACTTGTTGTACACATGGCACCCTGATGTAAACATTTTCAATTTTTTCTGGTGCGACATATTCTCCCTAAAGGTATATATTTGGAAATATGCTTTATATGTCATTCAAAACAATTTT